AGTAGAAGACAAATTAAATGTTTAATGATTTTTATTGATGTTTATGTCATTCCAGTCGAGTGTCCGTGGTCCATAGTTAAAATTTTTTGTCGCATGTCGTAAACTGTTCCCACAATCCTTGTTTAAACAACGGTGTGCAACTCACTAATCCTCGTTGAGGTCCCGAAGTATTTCCGATGAGTATTCGTGTACGTCATCGACCGGGATAACCCGAAGATTTACATGAGTTAGCCATGTGATTCAAACGTGTTCTAGGTCATTTTGTTAGCAATATTCCCTTCAGTTATTTGAGGAAGAAGAAGCTGGGAGAGAGTTGGAGCATCGCTCTGAGTGATGCTGGCTACTTATGTTTTAATTTCTTTTTCCTCTTCTGCTCGTAGAATTGTCCTGTTTTCGACTTCACAGATTTTACCAGCAATGATAAGCTAAAGAAAGCAAAGCAAAATCATTTTATGTGATTAAAAGATTCCGGAGACAACAAACAGTCCCTCCCTACGGTGAAGTCCGTCGCGCAGGTAAAAACGATAACGCACCGCGCGGAACTCTGAGTGTGTGCCTCACCCCCTGAGTTATGTGTGGTGCGCCAACATCAATTTTCACTGACTCTTTTTGACTCGCGCGGAGGACTTTGCCAAGAGGAGGGACTGCTTATAATGCAGAAAGCTTTCTCATGAAGGAAATGCAATTGCAAAAATGTAGCGGGTTAAGATGTTTGTGTAAAATTGCAAACTTACCTAGGATCTTTTCTGAGCCTTTGATCTCCTACAATATCAGATAAAATAAAAATATGTATGAATAAATACTGTAAAAGGAAACTTACTGCAATAGAGACACCTCTATAAGAAGACAGACACTTATCTATAAAGCCTCTCTATATAAGTTGACTCGTTCCAAGTCCTTTCAAAAATGTGCGCAGCGATAAAGTGAGGAAGAAGGGGTTGATGGGAAAGAGGGCTTATTTCCTTACTTTCTTCCAACCCTTCATACTTCGCGCTAAACTGTCCACGTCGGTTTCCAGTGCTTTGGAGACAACTGGGTACGAGTCTGCTGTATACAGCAATGCCCTCCTTAAAAAGAGTTGATTTTTCTTCCTTAATTAAATTGTTCTTCCTCGTGTCTTGGAAAACTTGAACTCATTCCCGATACAGGGTTAGAAAAAAAATTCTCGACTGCAAATCACGATTCAAATGTACCCACCTTTTTCCTGCCTCGGATGAGCATTTTCAACCTCTGAATTTTCTCTTCTTTTCTGTCGTTCCACTAAAATTGTTTCCATGGCTTTAGTTTTCCTGTTGAAACAGAATCACAATATTAACACAGTAACCCTGGTAACATTTACGTTTCTGACGGGCTAACCAAATCTGCACAAGACTTTCCAATCATCCAGCTAACAGATCTTAAACATCCCTTACTAATAAAAAACTACCAAAGATTAGGATACGATGAAGTAGGGAAAACTCCTATGTTCATCATACCTGTATTGCGGGTCTGAAGGATCCACAGCAAAGTGATGTGAAGTAAACAGCGCATCAAACCGAGAATCTTTCAGATCCACGTTAAAATTATCCTCCACAATTTCCTCGTCTTTCGCTTTCCTTTTCCTCTTCTTTTTGCTTTTCTTTTCTTTTTCCATAATTCCTTTCAGGCTAAAATGTTGTCGGTCGTCTTTCTCGTCCATTAAAAGCAATTCAAGCTCCGCCTTGATTCAAAATAATTAACAGAAAAAAATTTATTTTATTCATTTAGAAATATAATGAAAAAATTTTAATGTTTAAGATAAGTAATTTTAAAATGTTACTTTCATTGCATGATTTTAATGCTGATATCTGCTAGCTTGCTTTATTGTGTCGGCACGATAGAGCGCTTTTCGATTGAGTGTCTTAAAACTAAAACCAGAGTAAACACAGAGGGAAATCAGAAAAAAAGAAAATACCTTGAAGAGCCTATACAAATTCAAAGTAAAAAGTCTAATGTACGGGAAAACGCGGGTGACCAAGTTGTGATTGGTTGTAGTTTTGTATCTGATTGGTTAAGAGAATGGCGCGAGTTTTCTGGACCAATCACAGAGCGAAGTGAAGTAAAAACCAAAACAATCTCGGATTACTTTCGACGCTCAATTCAAAATTTCTCTTTTTTCTATTTAAATTTCTATTTCCACCTTTGCCTTCGTTTCCTCTTCAGTTTCCTCAGCTTTCCGCTTCCTTTTTTTCTTCCCTTTCTCATTGGACACTTTGTCAGGTGTCTTTTTACTTTTTATATCAGTGCCAAGTTCTTGGCTGAAGAAAGGATCTGATAGATCAACATCTGAAGGAATGTCGTCACTTTCGTCGGAATCTCTGACTGTTGAACTAAAGTGCAAAAAGATTCTTTGAT